GACCAGGCTGGCCTCAAACTCACAGAGATCCACCTAACTCTGCCTCCCAAGATCTCAGACTAAAGGCATGTGCCACCATGCCCGGCTCATGGCTCTCTTTTTTTATGCAACCTGAACATTCAATTACATTCTCCAGCAAGATGAAACTGGTTTCCTAATGAAATCCTAAGATTTCTGGTCCCTAAGAAGACTTCTCTTCTCTGATCCTTAGTTTTACTATTTGGTTTCTTTCTCTCAAGGCCCGCCTTCCTTCATTCTGAGGATGCAATGGATACAATATAATATCCACTCTATGTGAAAAGGAGTGTCTCACCTAGAACTCTTACCGATAATACATCAGGACTTAGTAAACTGGAAAAGTAAAGACAGAAATGAGAGTTGAGGGGTGGGGTGATACATGTCAGTGAGAAGGCTGGGCACATAGAGTGCTTCCCTAGCTTGTAGGAAGCCCTGGGTTCAATTTGTACCTCAAAAAATAAATAAATAAATAAAATAAAATAAAACAATGGGGCCGCAAAGATGGCTTAGTGTTAAGAGAGCAGGCTGTTCTTGAAGAATCCGAGTTTGGTTCCCAGCACCTATGTCAAAACCACCTGTAACTCCAGCCCCAGAGAACTGTATGCCTCTGGCCCTCATGAGCACTTGCATTCATGTACACATATCCTCCCCCACATATACATAATTAAAAATGGTAAAAATAAACCTTTAAAAATAGTCATATGCCAGGCATGGTGGCACACGCCTTTAATCCCAGCACTCAGGAGGCAGAGGCAGGTGGATCCCTGTGAGTTCAAGGCCACCCTGATCTACATAGTGAGTTCCAAGACAGTTGGGGCTACAGGGAGACCCTGTCTCAAAAAGACAAAAAAAAAAAATAGTCATACACACATATAATGGAGGGCAACACAAATTGGACCTGATGGGTTAAAAAAAGAACATGACCTCCAATGGGTAGGGAGGTGGGGTGGATCTGAGAGGAACTGGGAGTGAAGGATAAATATACACAAATACAAGGCAACTAGGATGGCATTACATATGGAAAAGTCTAGAGAAAGAGCAAAGTGGGGAAGACACGTGGCCAGGCAGGTGAAGATAAAGAAGGGCCTTCTTTGACCTTTCTTTTTTTTTCTTTTTTTTTGTGGGGCGGGGGGCTTTCTAAAGGCTAAGATTTAGTCTGTGTTTGTGGAACATGATCCCAATAATCATCTACAGATCCCAATGGTCTGTAGTGGGAAACAGACCAGAGTGGCAACAGATACCTGCAAAGAAGTTGTTGCAAAAATGGCCAGAGGATGTGAACTAGTTATTCCCAGTCTCCCCACGGCATTCTGTGCTGAAACTGGGGAAGGCTGAGTATACAGGTTGAAATCAAGCCACAGATAGAATAAGGATGGATAATTGTACAGGAGAAAGGCATGTTCTGACCACTGCAGGGGCAGGCAAGGGCAGGCCAAAAAGGTGTGTGCAGAAACAAGGAAAAGGTAGAGAAACTAGATCCAACTAAGAGTCAGAGCCTCCTGGATGAGAAATTTTACTGTGGTTCAAGACTGCTGCCTGCTGTCTACACTACTCCACTGTAACCCGAGAAATCACAGACCTTCACTACAGAGTCCTCCTAGCTAAGAGGTGACAAATACTTTCCATCAGCTAAAAAAAAAAAAAAAAAAAAAAATTAATTGCGAGCATTCATTTGGATTGAATTGTAACCCCTCCAAAATATGATATGCTGAAGTCCTAATGCGTGAACAATATTTGAAATAGTGACCTAATTTGAAAATAGGGTTATTCAGGGGAGGAACAATATCTGCATCAAAGGTGGTGGCTCAGGCCTGTAATCTCAGCACTTGGGAGGGTGAAGCAAGAGGATTTCAGGTTTGAGGCCAGCTTGGGCTACTTGGAAAGTTCCTGGCCAGTCTGAGCTATGAGAACAGTCACAAAAGAAGGAAGACAGGGATGTAGCTCAGAAGAGTATTTACCTAGCATTCAGGAAATGTTGGGCTCAGTCCCCCAACATTTCATAAACCAGGTGTGGTACACACCTGTAATCCCAGCACTTTGAAGGAAAAGGAGATGAATTAGAAATTCAAGGTCAGGCTTAACCACACAGCAAGTTCAAGGCCAATTTGTCATCAAGAGACCCCTCTCAACAAAAAACAAAAACAACAGTTGAAAACAATCCAAATATCTTTCAGTGATGAACAGTTAGATACATGGTTTTATATCTGTGATACAAACTACAACTCAGCAATTAAAAAAAGAAGTTAACTATTGATATATTCTTCAAATGACAAAAATACTGGAAATAGAGAACAGATTAACGTTTATCAAGGGTGAAGAAGTAAAGGAAGATGTAGAGAAAGATACTATAGCTACGAAAAGCAACATGAGGGACTCCTGAGATGCTGACAGTATCTGAGTTGTGTTATTGTTTTTGTTGTTGTTGTTTTGAGACAGGGTCTCCCTGTAGCCCCGGCTGGCCTGGAACTCACTGTGTAGACCAGGCTGGCTTTGATCTCACAGAGATCCACCTGACTCTACCTCCAGAGTGCTGGCATCAAAGGTGTGTATCACCTCGGCCAGCTCATTGAGAATATTTTGTACCTTGACTGCATCACCATGAAATTCCTGTTTGTGTTACTGTACTAAAGTCTGTAAGATGTCACTTGTAACTGCATATAAATCTACAGCTTTCAGTCCAGCGAGGTAAAGGCACTTGCAGTAAAGGCTGACAACCTGAGCTTGATCCCCATGACCCACATAGTAGAGGGAGAGAGCCCACTCCTGCAGATTGTCCTCTGACTTCCACTTGTGTGGTACAAAAATAAATAAACCAAAATAAAATTCAACCTAAAATTCTTTTTTAAAAATAAACATTTGGGGGGCTGGAGAGATGGCTCAGCAGTTAAGAGCACTGGCTGCTCTTCCAGGGGACCTGGGTTCAAGTCCCAGCACACACATGGTGGCTAACAACTGTTTGTAACTCCAGTTCCAGAGGATCCGATGCCCTCTTCTGACCTCTGAAGGCACTGCACGACAGGGGTGCACTTACACACATAAAGGCAATACACTCACACACATAATAATAATAATAAAATAAACCAGACATGGTGGCACACGCCTTTGATCCCAGCACTTGGGAGGCAGAGGAAGGCAGATCTCTGTGAGTCTGAGGCCAGCCTGTTCTACATAGCAAGCTCCAGGCCAGCTGGGGCTACAGGGAGACCATGTCTCAAAAAGATCTAAATAAATATCTTTTTCAAAATTAAAAGTTTAACTTAAAAAAACTTTAAAATTTATTTTGTGTGTGTGTGTGTGTGTGTGTGTGTGTGTGTGTGTGCATGTCCATGCATGTGTGCCACCTTACATGCATGGGCAGAGGACAGCTTCCAAGAGTCCGTTCTCTCAGTTCTACAACATAAATTCCAGGGCTTGAACTCAGATTATAAGGCTTGGCAGCAGGCGCCCTTACCGCTGAACTATTTCACCTGATCCTGAATACTTTTTATTTTATTTATTATTTTTATCATTTTATGTGTATGTAAGTGCACCTGTGTCATGCAGTGCCCACAGAGGTCAGAAGGTGTCAGATCCCCTGGAACTGGAGTTACAGACAGTTGTTAGCCACCATGTGGGTGCTGGGACTTGAACCCAGATCCCCTGCAAGAGCAGCCAGTGCTGTTAACCACTGAGCAATCTCTCCAGCCCCATGAATATTTTTAAAAGACAGTGTCTCACTATGTAGCCCAGGCTGGCCTGGAATTTGTGGTGATCATCTTGTCTCTGCCTACCAAATGCTGATATTAAAAAAAAAAAAGTGCCACATAAAGGCTTCAAATTTTTAGTTTTATTCCTTAATTGGTAAATATGATTGACTATGGAATATGTCTACTGTCTCTATACTTACTGTCATTATATAATGCCCTTTATATAATGACTAATTTGAGAGTGATGTGTGCTCTGTCAATTTGTTTTCAATGCACTGTTTTTAAAGAAAATCTAGCCAGGCATGGTGGTGCACACCTGTAGTCCCAGCACTTGGGAGGCAGAGACAGGTGGATCTCTGTGAGTTCGAGGCCAGCCTGGTCTACACAGTGAGTTCCAGGTCAGCTGAGGCTACAGGGAGTCCCTGTGTCAAAAAGACCAGAAAATAATAATAATAGTAAAAAATTTAAAGAAAATCTTGAGGAGCAACAAAAAAGGCAAGCAGCTTCATAATCAGAATATGCTGATCATTTAGTTGGGCAGTTTTTGACCAAGCACTCGAAGCCCAGGGAGTTCACTTACTACTTTAGTCTACGCTCTCTGAAGACATTTTGTAGCCATCTCTTTCCTTTTCCTTTTGGGCTCTCCAAAACTTGAGAACTTAAGGTTGTACATGATCTTGTGTTTTGCTATCCTTTTTACTGTAAAATGTAAATATTTTAAGGGATATTTTTATTCTAAATATGATAAAAGAATTTCTCATCTAAAAAAAAACAAACAAAACAAAAACAGTGCCACTATACCAAATCAGCCAAAACCTTAATTTTTTTAAAGGTTTTCAGTAAATCTAATAAATGAATAGAATTTCTAGGGCATTCTTTCCACATCAGAATGGGCTATCTATCACTGGCACACCTAATTTTAAAGAACATTGACACATGGGCTAGTCACTCCTCAATCTTTAGCTCTTTTTAGTTATTTAGTTATTCTCTTAAAGTCACCCCCCCCCCGGTGGTCATGCTGGTGGAATTTGAACCTAGGTCCTCACTCAAGCTAGACTTGTACTCTGTCCTGAGCTACATCTGCAGTCCACAAAGAATCTTCCTTAAATGCAAATCTGACCATGTTATTCCCTAAAATCCCTAGTGTAATATCAAGGGCTTCAAGATCCCTTAGCAAGCTGCTGGCAGTTTCTAATTATTTTTTAATTTTTTTAAATTTTATTTTATGTGTATGCGTGTATTACCTGCATGTAGGTAAGGGTACCCATGTCATGCAATGCCCGCGGAGGACAGAAGAGGCCATCGGATCCCCTGGAACTGGAGTTACAGACAGTTGTTAGCTGCCATGTGGGTTATGGGGTTCGAACCCGTGTCTTCAGCAAGAATAGCCAGAGTTCTTAACTACTGAGCCACCTCTCCTGCCCCAGTTTCTAATTATTTCAAAAGACAGTGTCTCACTATTGCCTGTGACAATGTGAGACCCCCTAAAGGTAGCCACCGTGACTGATCTCCATGTGTTTCAAGTATTATCTAATAGCTACTGTGTTCCCTAGCATAAATTATCTAATATCTATTGTGTTCCCTAGCATATATTAGGGGTGCAATGAATCTTAATGTCAATAAAAAGTCCACTATAAACACCTGTCACCTTTGGTTTCAATCCTAAGAACCCAGAAGTGTGGATCTTGTGTTGCCCACAGAACACTGACCTGCAAGCACTCCTGCCAAGTACACCAGCCCCACTCGGAGGCCTTTGTGGACCATTTCCAAGGGAATACCCAAAACGAGCTGCATGAAAAGATTGCCCACGATGTGCTGAACTCTGCAGAGACAAATACAGGGTCAAATACTCCAGCAGTCATTTCCTTGGGAGACTTTCACATGTTAAGAACTCGCTAGAGGGCCAACAAGATGGCTCAGTAGGTAAAGGCACCTCTTGCCAACCTGAAACTCTGAGTTTGATCCCTGGGATCCACATGGTTGGAAGGAGAGAACCAACTCCCACAAGTTCTCTGGCATCCACTTGTGTGCCATGGCGCGCACGCGCGCGCGCACACACACACACACACACACACACACACACACATACACACACAGTAAATAAGTAAAAATGTAATGAAAAAAAAATTTTTTTTTGTCTTTTGTCTTTTTGAGACAGGGTCTCCCTGTAGCCCCAGCTGTCCTGGAACTCACTATGTAGACCAGGCTGGCCTCAAACTCACAAAGATCCACCAGCCTCTGCCTCCCAAGTGCTGGGATTAAAGGCATGTGCCACCACACCCAGCTGTAATAAAAAATTTTAAAGAACTTTCCAGAATTCTGTTTCTAATTTTTTTTTTAGCCACCAACCCATTTTTCTCTTTTAAATTAAATCTAGAGGCTGGAGAGATGGCTCAGTAATTAAGAGCACTGGCTGTTCTTGCAGAGGACCTGGGTTCTGGTTCCCAGCACCTACATAGCAGCTAATAACCATCCTTAACTCCAGTTCTGGGGATCCGATGCCCTCTTTTGGCCTCCGTGGTCACTGCACACATTTACATTTATAGGCAGGCAAAGCATTCATACAAGTCAGGTATAGGGGGTTGCACTGTGAGTTCAGCCTGGTCTACATAATGAGTTCCAAGCCAGCCATGCTACACAGTGAGACCCTATCTTTAAAAAAGAGAGAAAAAGAAAAAAAGTATAAATATATACTTTTTTGTTTTATAATAAAATTATAACATGAAACAGAGATTAATGAAACTGTTTAAAGAATATAAACTTGGACAGGATGTAGCTCAGGAGGTAGAGTGCTTGCCTAGCTCTGGGTTCAATCCTTACCACTGAGTCCTTGCACCCATCCATGGATGTCTATTTCACCACTGGCCTAAAGAATGATCATTTCTTTTTCTTTTTTCTTTTTTTTTTTTTTTTTTTTTTTTTTTTTTTTTGCTTTTTGAGACAGGGTCTTCCTGTAGCCCCAGCTGACCTGGAACACACTATGTAGATCAGGCTGGCCTTGAAATCACAGAGATTCATCTGCCTCTGCCTCTGTGCCACCACACTGGCAAGAGTGATCATTTCAAATCCAGGGCTATGCAGATTACACAGGTGAAGTTCACTTTGTCCAATAGCAAAGGCCTCTTCAGAGGAGCGGGGCAGCAACAAGCTACTTGCTAACCAAAATGGACATAGGGGACCATGGATGCTGAGTGAACAGTTTTGTTTTTTTTGGTTTTTTTTGCTTTTGAGGCATGTATGGTTATATTGACCTTGAACTCCTGATTCTCCTGCTTCTGCCTCCCACATACTGTTTGAAGTTTCAGGCATGTACCACCATACTTGGCTTCAAGAATGAGGTCTTGAAATGCTGTTAGCATTAGGAAACTATAAGCAGGTAGGTGTGGTGGCACATGCCTTTAGTCCCAGCACTTGGGAGGCAGAGGCAGGCAGATCTCTTTGGGTTCAAGGCCAGCCTGGTCTACATAGCGAGTTCCAGGTCAACTGGGGCTACAGGGAGACCTGTCTCAAAACAAAACAAAAAACCAATCATTTATAAAGGCAAGCATAGCCTCTCTTATTTTCTATTGCCTATACCATTTCTTTCTAAATTTTTTTGCTTTGTTTTTATTTTATGTATATGTGTGTGTTGCCTGCATGTATGCAAATGTACCCGTGTCATGCAATGCCTGCAGAGGACAGAAGAGGGCGTCAGATTCCCCAAAACTGGATTTACACATGGTTGTTAGCTGCCATGTGGGTGCTAGGAACCAAATCTGGGTCTCCTGCAAGAAAAAACAGTGCTGTCAACTACTGCGCCATCTCTCCAGTCCCATGAATTGATTTCTTCTTTTACAGTGTGTGTTTGGGGGAAGCAGACTGATGATTCAGCTCCGCCACTTCAGCACCTACAGGGAACACCTGACAGCATCTAACAAGTGGGGAGACCTACTTTTGGTCTGTTAGTGATCTGGTCTCTACTCCTTAATATTCCTATGTCAATATCTGTATTAGTCAGCCATGCCATGTACAGTACACTGATCTTAGAGTCAGCACCAGTCGGTTGAGGACCTGGTTCTCTAACTCAGCTGTGAGATCTACAGAAAATGGTTATATCCTTAGATAGGAAATAGTGGGACAAACACCTGCCTCCTGGGTTGTTGGTAGGATCAAACAAGACAACGGACATGGTAGTGTCTGATCAATAATAAACTCCAGGTGCTGGAGAGACGACTCAGCAGCACTTGTTGCACTTCCAGAGGACCAGGGTTTGGCTCCCAGCATCCACCATAGCTCAAAACTGCCTGTAACTCCAGCTCCAGGGGAGCCAACACCCTCTTCTAGCCTCCTTGGACATCTCTACACACATGGCAGACAGAAAGACTCACACCCATATATATGAATAATAATGATGATAATAATAATAAAGTTCCAAATAGGTTCGAGGTGGCAGTACTGGGCAGATTATTTGTTTTTGTTTCTCTTTTAAATTTTTTTATTTATTTATTTTGTGTGTATGCCTATGTGTGTGTGATGGGGGTGTGTGTGCATGCCACACTGGTAGAAGTCAGAGGACAACTTGTAGGAGTCAGTTCTCTCATTTTATCATGTGGATTCTGGGGCTCAAACTCAAGTCATTGGGCTTGGTGGCAGGCATCTTTACCCACTCAGTCATCTCACAGGCCCCCTGGTTTAGGATTTTTTTTTTTAAAGACAGAGTCTAGCTATGTAGCTAGATGGCCTGGAATTCAATATGTAGATCAGGCTGCACTCAAACTTGCCTTGGTTCTCTTACCTCTGTCTCCCAAGTGCTGGGATTACAGATATGTGCCACTATGCCCAGCCTAGCAATCACTTACAGTTTCCTATAATAGCGATGACTTAACCATCATTCCTTACCCAGCATGGACCAACATATATGAGATAAACCTCCAGGCTTCCTCCCTCTTCTCAGGACGGTAGGTAAAGGGACTCTCCAAGATTCCAGTGTCCAGGGTGATCCATTGTTTCTGAGGCTTCCACACAGCATAGTAAATAAACACAGCCAGCTGTCAGGGTGGAGCAAACATAAATGTTAACCACACCTTCTCCAGACAGTAGGCCCATTAAAACTCACAGGCAGTAATTGTGTTTAGTGATCAGCTCTTCACTGGGCCACGCCACAGTTTGGGCTCAGAAGATGCTAAAATTGAGTTTCTCCACCAGCCCCCACTGTGGTCACCCCTTCTGTCCCCCCACTATGAGGAACCCTGTTTGTCCAGATTGTATGAAAGACTCTTTCTGAATCCCCTTCCCCCTGCTTTTGACACCCTGCCTGGCACTATCTTCCCTCCCTTCATCCTTCCCACCCCCCCTCACCTTCCCACTCCTGCCTCACAGCAGAGAAACCTGGCCGACACTGTCCCACTCAGATAATGAAGGTCAATGTTCCAGTGCTGTTATGTTCCGTCCTTTACCTCACAATGTCTTCTTCCCCTACACCCCTAACTGCAGTCTAACCATGAGAAAAACCTTAGAGAACCCCAGACAGGACACCCTACAGGATACCTGGCCAATATACTTCATCATTTTCAAGATCCTGAAAAACCACTGAGAAACTGTCATGGATCAGAGGAACCTTGGGACAGGATAACTTACTGCAGTGTGAAACCCTGTACTGTAGGGAGCCAAAGGAAGAGAAAGGACATGAATGATAAAACTGACCAAATCCAAGTAAGGTCTGGAATTTAGTTAAAAATGTACATTCCTTCTCCCAAATATGAAAATATGCAAAGTAAAATGTTCCAAATTTGATGTTTTTGAGCACTAACAGGACACTTCAAAAAGTTTCCAATTTGTGTGTGTGTGGGGGGGGTTCACCAGTGTGTCAGGTAAATGCATGTGTGGAGACCAGAGGTCAATCTCAGGTGTCATCTTTCAGGTGCTGTTCATTTTGTTTTCTGAGACAGTCTCTCATAGGCCTGAAACTCCCCCAAGTTTGCTAGGCTAGTTGGCCAGCACACCTCAGAGGTCTGTCCACCTCTACCTTCCTAGTACTGGAATTCAAGCACTCACCATGACTCTGGCTCTTCCACATGGGCTCTGGGATCAACCTCAGGCCCTCATGCTTGCATGGAAAGCACTTTACTGACTGAACTATCTCCCTAGACTCAAAGTTTTTAATTTTGGAGCATCTTGGACTTTAGATTTTCAGATTAGGGGTATTTAACCACTAAAGTCTATAGAAATATTCAAAGAAGAGGCTGTCAGATCCCCTGGGACTGGAGTTCATGAACAGCTGTTAGCTGCCATGTGGGTGCTAGGATTCAAACCTGGGTCTCCTGCAAGAACAGCCAGTGTTATTACTGCTGAGCCATCTCTCTAGCCCCCTGCTTTTCTTTTTTAAAAAGTATTTATTATTTTTTGCTGGGCGTGGTAGTGCAGGCCTTTAATCCCAGCACTAAGGAGGCAAGAGCAGGTGGATCTCTGTGAGTTCTAGGCCAGCCTGGTCTACATAGTGAGTTCCAGGCCAGCAGGGGTTACAGGGAGACCCTATCTCAAAAGACCAAAAAAAAAATTTTAATAGAAAGTGTCTGCCAGGCATGGTGGTGAAAGACAGTGCCCCTCAGACCCTCTCCCTGGCCTCTGAGAAAAAGCTGCCCTCCACCTGACTCTGGAAATCCCCTTCATTGTTCAAACCCTTTCCTGGTATCTGTTTATGATTTCTATGGAAATGGTCTGGGGCAGAAGAGATAGAACGTTCTGCCCCAGGTAAACTAGCCAATGACAGTATACTTGAGACATCCGTGTATGGTCTCTATGGGAATAACCTGAGGCAGAAGAGAAAGAACGTTCTGCCTCAGGTAAGACAGCCAATGGCTGTATAGGTAAAGTCTCTGGAAATCAGTCCTAGATTGTTCCAATCCTTTCCTGGTTATTCTGTGTATAGTTTCTATGGACATCCCCTGCTTTGTGGTTTCTGTGGGTTTTCTGCTTAAAAGCCCTGCATTTTCACTGCTCGGGATCACAGTATAGGTCCCGAGAATGTCTGTGTCCCCAGCTATTTGGCCTCAATAAAGCTCTTCTGTGAGACTCAAACCCGTGTTCTTTTTTTTTTGAGACAGGGTCTCCCTGTAGCCTCAGCTGTCCTGGAACTCACTATGTAGACCAGGCTGGCCTTGAACTCACAGAGATCTGCCTGCCTCTGCCTCCCGAGTGCTGGGATCAAAGGCATGCACCACCACTCCCGGCCTTAAATCTGTGTTCTTAACTGCTGAGCCATCTCTCCAGCCCCTGCCCTGAAGGTCTTAGGGCTGCCAAATCTCGCCATCATTTTAGCTCACTCACTCACACCCTTCTGATTTTGTTCTGCTGGAGATCCCTGATGAATACAGCTGAGACATGGGTAGCAATTAAGAGGACTATGCTAGAGACATCCTAGTGCCCCTGAAGTCATACCCTAGAGGCAGCCATCTCTCCATTGCCTTTATAAAGCACAGCAGTGTAAGAGTCACAAGGTTCTGGAGGCGCTTACCCTGGCCCAATCACCAAGACATACGAGGGAGTCATCCCACCTCTCTGAGCTTTGCCCTCTTTGAGGAACTCAAGAGAGCTGACCAGGCTATGGTCTGAGAGTACATTCCATGCAATCCAAGGTAGATATCCATAGGGGATCCTTTTTCCCTCTGAAATCTTAGGTAGCTATGACAGGTCAGGCCAACCTGACCAACCAATCAAAGTTGGTTCATGAGACAAAGCCAATTTGCAAACCAAACATGGTAGTGTATGCCTAAAATCCCCAAACCTGGGGGGCTGAGACAAAAGGATTGTGGTGAGTTGGAGGCCAGCCTGGGATACCGTGCCAGATCCTCTCAAAAGACAAAAATAGGGGGCTGGCGAGATGGCTCAGCAGTTAGGAGCACTTACTACTCTTCCAGGGGACCCAGATTCAGTTCCCAGCATCCACATGGCAGCTAACAACCAATTCCAGGAAATCTGACACCTTCTGGCATCGAGGGTTTGCATGTATATTGTACACTTACATTCATACACATAAAATAAAAATTTTTAAATAAAAAGTAAAATCATTAATTTGCAACCCCAAAGTACTTTGGTTTCTAATGACCCCCCCAGTAAAATGAATTGAAACCCCTGAAATCACAGTCAGCTGTGGGCAGGGGATTTGTGTAATGAAGGAAACCTGCCCTTGGGTTGGCAGTGACTGAGAAAGCTTGATGAGGTAGCTGTGGGAGGAGGAGGTGGAGGTTTGATGTGTGCCGTCTTTGTCCCTGCTAAGCTCTCTTCCTATACCGTCCCTTTTCTAGATGTAGGTTTTACCCCCCTTTGTTTGCAATTTCCAGTTGGAACAGATGTGTGGGTCCAGCCACACCCATAATGTTTACCTCAGCCAGGCTGATAGAGATGATGAACAGGGGAGGCGGGAGGCAGTTTGCTCTCTCCAAGTATGTTCTTCGGACTGGTTCAGGGAGCATCCACTTTGAGACAATCCTGTGTACCTTTCTGCCCTTTGAGGGGTCTTTACCTTCCCCATCCTCTCTTGGTTTCTCTTCCTCCAGCTCGTCCTTCCCCTCTCTCTCCATGTTGAGATTCACACTCTCCATCTCCACATTGTGAGCAGCAGTCATTGTCCAGGCTTTCCCTGCACCTAAAAGAGATGTGAAGTTAGAGAAAACTGGGTAATTCTTGGTTTGCTGGCTGTGTCTCTTTCCTGGGCTCTCTGGCAAAACTGTTGGTTTCTCTGGTCTTTCCTATGAGGATATAGGAGTTGGCTAAAGATGATCAAAATGGTCTAAACCTCATAAATGTTCCTGAATAGTTTTTGTTGTATTGTTTTGTGATTGTTTAAAATATTTTATTATTTTTATTTATGTGCACGACTGTATTGCCTGCTTATATCTAAGTGCACCCATGTCATGCAAAGTTCATGGAGGTCAGAGGAGGGTATTGGATTTCCCTGGAACTGGAGTTACAGATAGTTGTTAGCCACCATGTGGGTGCTGGAAATCAAATCCAGGTCCTCTGCAAGTGCAGCCAGTGCTCTTAACCACTGAGCCATCTCTCCAGCCCTCTGTTTTGTGATTGTTTTAAAAAGCATGGAGTTAGCCTGGCGTGGTGACACAAGCCTTTAGTCCCAGTACTCAGGAGGCAGAGGCAGGCAGATCTCTGTGAGTTCGAGGCCAGCCTGGTCTACATAGTGAGTTCCAGGACAGCTGGGGCTACAGGGAGACCCTGTCTCAAATAAAAAAAAAAAAAAGCGTGGAGTTAAGGGGCTAGACAGACGGCTTAGCAGTTAAGAGCACTGGCTGTTCTTGCAGAGGACCCGGGTTTGACTCCCAGCACCTACAGGGTGGCTAACAACTATCTGTAACTCCAGTTCCAGAGGATCTGACACCCACTTCTGATCTCTGCAGGCATTGCATGACAAAGGTGCATCTACCTACATGGAGGCAATATACTCATACACATAAAATAAAAATAATAAATAAAATATTTAAAAACCTCTAATAAAGAAATAAGCCAGATATAGTGGTGAACACCTGTAATTTCAGAATTTAGGAGGCAGAGTCAGGAGGATTAGGAGTTCAAAGTTATCCTCAGCAACATAGCAAGTACAGAGTCAGCTTGGGCTACAAGAGATCTTGTCTAAATTAAATAAATAAATAACACAATTTAAAAGTAAAAGTATAGTCACAAAGCCAAATGACTAGAATTAAAACACAGTTTCAAGGCTAAGGATGTAGATCAGTTGGTAGATCACTTGCCTAGCACAAAGTTCTAGGTTTGAGCCCCAGAAGTACATAAACGGGTGTGGTGGCTCATGCCTATCATCCCAGCACTTGGATGGTAGAATCAGGAGGAGCAGAAGTTCAAAGTCATCCTCTGCTACATAGCCAACTGGAAGACACCTAAGATATGTGAGATCTGTCTCAAAATAAAAAAGAAATAAAGTACAGTTCTAGCCAAGTGCGGTGACATAGCTTGTAGTTCTAACACTCAAGCTGAGATGAAAAGAGCTCTTGAGCCCATAGTTTTGACACCAGGCTGGACAGCACAGCAAGACTTCATCTCAACAACAGAAAATCCAAGTTCCACCGCACATCACAGTAAGGTTTAAATTGCGCTTCAAATTACTTTTTAAAAATTATGGTAAACAGCATGAAACTTAGGTTGGTGAGATGGCTCAACAGATAAAGGAGCTTGCTGCTATGCCTGATGGCCTGAGCTCAATCCCTAGATCCCAAGATAGAGAGCTCTGACTCCCACAAGTTGTCCTCTGAACTCCACATACATGCCATGACAGCTACATAGCCCCCCAAATAAATAAATGTAAAAAATAGCATGAAACTTACCACCTAAAGATACAATTTGGTGGCATTACACTTACAATTAGTGCAATCAGTACCACAATCTAGCTCCAAAATGTTTTCATCGCCCACACATAAACCTCATACCCATTAAGTAGTTGCTCCACCATACAGACCTCTCCCTGGCCCCTGGCAACCATATATCTGCTTCTGTGAATTTACATCTAGGTATTTCATATAAATGGAATTAATATGTGTTTTCTTATAACAGGCTTCTTTCACTTATTATGTTTTCAAAATTCATGTATGCTGTAAACATGAATCACAGTTTTCTTCCTTTTAGGGATGAATAGTAGTACACGGGATGGGTTTACTGCACATCTGTTGATGGAGAATAGGCTGTTTCCACTTGTGGTTATTGTGAATGCTCTGTGATGAACACCCCTGAACAAGGTTCTGTCTGAACACCTGTCTTTAGTTCTTTACTATATATACCTACAAGCAGAATTGCTGGGTCGTGGTAATTGTGTGCTTGACATGTTAGGAAACACTCAGATTCCATTTTAAAATAGAGATAATGATAGTAGTTGGGGAGATTAGATAATATATGTAAGAGTTGGAAAATATCTGTCATATGGAAAATATGCCATAATTATTAGTTATTACTGACAATGGAGGAGTGGAGGGGTGCAGAGATGGATGGATGGAAAGGCTTAGCCTAGGGCCTATCTTCACGAGCAATTTATTGGGACTCAGATCAAATCCAGCTTATTTCTAAATTAATCTCATTAGGCCAGATTCCATGTTACAAAAGATTATATTCGAAGAATTTAAGAAGGAAGTGAATTCATTCATTTTTTCTTTTCTACAGCAGTTTTTCTGAGAGTAAAATCTTTTTCCCTCCCTACCTCCCCTAGTGTCTTCTCCCACCCCACCCCCAACTCACACATGGCCCCAGGTCTATGTAGACCAGGCTGGCCTTGAACTCACAGAGATCCATCTGCCTCTGCCTCTGCCTCCCGAGTGCTAGGATTAAAGGCATGTGCCACCATGCCCAGCGATTATTTTATTTCTTAAGCATTGATCATTTTTTCTAGTTCTTGCTCTTTTGAGGATAGGGGATGAATCAAGACAGGGTATTCCAAGCTAGCCTGAGCTCACTATGTAGGCCAGGCAGACCTTAAACTCACAGTCCTTCTGCCTCAGCCACTTCTTATAACTGACAAAATTTTAGTGTTTGTTTAAGATCAGCAGCTTTTAATTATAACTATTAAAGCATTTAAAAACTAAGTTCAGGGCTAGGAATATAGCTCAGTAGTAAAGTGCTTACCTACATGAGCATGCTATGGGTTGGATACCCGACACTGCAAACAAATAAATAAGTTCAATTAGGAATAATTAACATTGTAGGACTGGACCCCATTATAAATTTAATTACAATATAATCATTCTATGAGGAAATAAAATTCCATTTGTTAAACATTACAATTTACAGCCGGGCATGGAGGCACATGCCTTTAGCCCCAGCACTTGGGAGGCAGGGGCAGGTAGATCTCTTTGAGTTCAAGGCCAGCCTGGTCTACATAGGGAGTTCCAGGCCAGCTGGGGCTACAGGGAGACCCTGTCTCAAAAAGACAAAAAAAAATGCAATTTACATTTATAAAAGGAACTAGAAAAAAATGAGAATATCTTCTTAGATTTTCTCTTCCTTTGGATTTCAAATTTTCCAGAAATGTTTTAACTTCAAGCTCATCATTTTAGGTATGTAAATGCCTACACTTATTTCCTGTGCCAAAAAGATACCTGATCCATTCAGTGTAGGCAAGATTGCATGTTTCTGCTCTTCCCTAGCACTGCAACAAAGGGCTTGGATACCGAGCTCGGGCCCTTTGGGACTGTGGCAATAGACCAGTCCATCAGAAGTCCTTTGCTGCATTTTAATTTCACTTCACTCCAGTGGCTATCCTGCTCTTACCTCCTGACCTGTCTGTCTCTCCCTGATTCATCTGATCTCCAACACCTAGGCCGGTGATGCTCAAAGGTATTCCTTCCGAATCTCTGACTTCCCCATCCCTCCTCTTCCTGTTTATCTTCTCTCCCACGCCTCAGTTTCTAAGCACAGTTAAGTACCTTGGAAATATTACCAATCAAACTGGCAACTGTGTAAAAGATTGATAACATCTCATACTTATGAGGCTATGTGAAATAGGGACAAGTATATAAGGCACAAATTGATGCACCCTTTGGAAGGCAACTGGGTGGCCTCTATGAGATATAAAAAGGGCTAAGGAAATGGCTTAGTGGGTAAAGGCACTAGCTGTACAAGCCTGGCAACCTGAGTTCAATCCCTGGAGCATATGTAAAGTTGGAAGGAGAGAACTGACTCACAAAGCTATATATACTTTGACCTCTACATATGTATCTCGGCACACACAGAAACACACACACACACACACACACACACACACACACACGCTAATAGTAACAAAATTAAAAATAAAATAGCATGTCTTTCAAGAGGATATCTTATTTTTAAAATTCTATTCAGCAACTGTTTCTGAGTAAGTACACAAGTCACATTGTAAGGCTGTAAGCTGGAGAATTATTTACAATAATGAAAAAGCATAAACAACCTAAATGTACTTCAGTATACATTGCATTTTCTGACAATACTAATTCTTGGTTCTTTTCACATTATACATCATACCAACGGATTCCTACCTATGACCTTACCAAGAAAGTGCGATCTAAGGTGATTCACTCTGCCCTTGCTTGGGTGCAGGCTGTGTATAAACTCTATGGGCTTTGTACAGTGTGTGGAAGCACAACGAATTAATTACTAAATTAATTAATTTTGGTTTTATGGGACAAGGTCTCACATAGCCCAGGTCTCATGTGACCTTGAACTTGCTATGTAGCCAAGACTGGTCTTAAGCTCTTGAACTTCTTGCCTTCACCTCCCAAGTGCTGGGATTATAGGCATGTGCCACCACTCCTGGCCAGAAGCACACTTTAGATTAGCAGCAATGAAATACAGCGTGGCTGTCCAGACAGCAATTAGCAACAATCACAACACGCTATGGCCCCTGACAGACACAGGCAGCCACAGCTCTCTGGTCATTTGTTCCATTGCGGTGTCAGTCAAGTGGATATTTACTGCTCCCTGACTGAGCTTTAAGCAAAGATCATTAAGCAAAGATTGTGAGGGTTTCTGGAGTTTTCCTTCCCGTTGCATGATACTATGCCACATCTCCCTAATCTGCAGCCAGTTGCTGCTGCCTATTTTTTGTTGAGATTTCCACCCACACGAGGATCAAAACTGGGTGGGCTCCCAGTAAAG